GAGAGAGAGAGAGAGAGAGAGAGAGAGAGAGAGAGAAAGATAGAGAGAAAGAGAGAGAGAGAGAGAGAGAGAGAGAACGCGCGCGAGAGAGTCGGTGGGCGAGAAATGACACATAGCCACGTGCTCCTATACACACACACGCCCTCACACCTAGCTTCGCCTGCTTCAACGCCTGCACGCCCACTATGCACACTCCTACGTACAACAACGCGTGGCTGCAGGTGCTAATGCTTGCGTTGTACAAACAAACATCCACATGATTATGTTCGCTGCGCAATTTCACTATCTCACCGTCGTGTCTGTTCTGAGCATGGCGGGGCAGAAAAGATTTGTAGTTGTTTAAATTTGCCAATTGTTGGCACGAGGTGGCAGAGGTGGACGTTGCCCTGTGACCACTGTTAATGTGAAAAGATGAACAAATTTTTTTTTTTAAATGATAAAAACGAGTACGGTAAAAAAAGTTTTATTATGAAAAAATCAATAATGAGACTCGAAAAAGATATCCTAGAAATAATCCCAGGAACAAACGCTCGATAAATGCACGTGCACGCTCGCCGGTGTCTATAATCACGTCACCGCGTCACTAGGTGGCGCTACGAGACGTAGAGGGCGCTCAAGGCGTCCCACACGTCGGCAAAGTCGGCGCCGATCGCGTCGACGTGCGTTGGATGTGCGGCGCGCACGTGCTCGCGCATGTGGCGCCACAGTGTGGCGGCACTCGGCCGCAGCACGCCGTGCTCGCTCTCGTACTCTCCCGCGGCGAGGCGCCGCCAGAGGGCGTCGGCGCACATGCGCTTGAGTCGCGCGGCGGGGACGAACTCGACTAGCTTGTCTCGCTCGTCGGCGAGCACATCGAAGCCGCGCAGGAACGGGTGCGGCATGCGACGCCGCGCCAGGCAGCTAGCCACGTACGCGTACATACGCAACACGAGACCACGATCATCGTAGTCGTCACGGGGATCGTAGTCGTCACGATCATCGTAGTCGTCACGATCATCGTAGTCGTCACTATAGTGTGTGTGATGTGTGTAGCAAGGCATCGGTGGGTGTGGCTATATTTTGGATAGTAGCCGAGTGCCCTTGCTTGTCACTCGAGCTTATGAAGTTTTTTTTTTTAACTGTTTTTTTTCCCCGCGATGAATTATTGGATTTGTGGTATTTAGCCCCCAAGTGTAGACCGGACTGGTTGCACTGTGGGACTACATTTACTTATGTTTATATATATTGCTTGAGCTTTGTCCTTGCGGGATTTTATGTAATACTATCAGGAGTAAATAATGTAATAATCTCTCATTTACTCTTGATGCTATATTGGTTTATTTTGTTGCTGGATTCGTTACCACAGTCAATAATTGAGCTTTGCGAAACTATGATTCAAAGATGCGGTGGAATTGTCGATATTTGACGATCTGAGTAGTGTTTATCTATGCGTGTTTTTTTCTTCCTGTTATAGTGGTGCTGATTTTCACCACGTTTTGCTCTCAGTGACGAGTATGGTGTATATGATGACAGGGCATCAGGACCACGGCTAACCCCTCACGAGTGCTGCGCGCTAATCTCTTTCCCTCTCTTCCTCTCTCTCTCTCTTCTCTCTCCATTTCTCCCCCCCCCTCTCTCTCTCTCCATTTCTCTCGCCCTCTCTCTCTCTCTCTCTCTCTCCCTTCCCTCCCCCTCTCCTTCTATCTCTCTCCTTCCCCCTCGCTCTCTCTCCCTTCCCTTCTATCCAACCTTTCTCTCTCCCACGTACGCTGCGCATGGTGGCACCTGTGAAGTTTGTCGCATGTCCACGCGAGGCGCGGTGACACACGTTGTCGTCGTCGTCGTCGTCGTCGTTGTCGTCGTGTCGTGGCCGGACGCTGGCAGGCGGCGTGCCGTATCATGTTCTGCTGCTGAAAGCTCTCCTCTCTCACGAAGATTTTGTTGATGCACGCGGGTCGCATGTATATATATATATATATAGACGCTAGAAATAGTAACGGGAGCATCTTGCATAGTTTGACGGCTCGCGTTTGTAGTAATGTCGACTCTTTTAAGTTCGGCCGTGAAATTGCAAGGACGTCTTTCGTTCCGATTTTACGTTACCGATCCCCTAGAAATATTGGTGGATAAAGGAACTGTTTTAGGCATGAGTACGGCCTACGCTTTTAAAAATCACGTGGTTTTTTTAGGCTTATCTCACTATGCAGATGTCGTTTTGAGTTGTTTTACTAGTCTTGTGCGTGGGTATATATGCAGGACGGCTTTATTTTTTACTAACTTTGCAGTCATATATTAATACAACAAACTTATGCACGTTCTTACTACTTCCTTTACACGATTCTACTGCGTTCTCGTGTGTGCTATTGTCTTGCTATATTCACATATATGTATATGTATGTATGTATATATATATGTACCACTCCCGGTACAGTTTGCATCAATAACTGCCCTATATATATATTATATATATAATATATATTGTATATAGTATATC